AGCACGGCATTAGTGGACCGTGGAAATATACCCCAACAGCATCAAGGCCGTCTCGTCGTCAAAGTCCCTGGTAGTTTACCAACACATATTCTCACAAGCTGACGTCAGTAGCTCGATCATCTTGTAGCTGCGCGGTCGCAATGAAATGACCAACAAGCACATACTGGATCGCAAGACCAGCAATTCCGCGAGCTGTAGGTTGGTAGAGGACACCGGGGATGCCGAACAGCTCGACTACCGTTTGACCGAAAAAGGAGGAGCATTCGTACGTTGAAGACTGTTTGGAAACGCTTCCGGCAGACGACACCATCGATCGATCCATGTTGCGTTTTGGCCGTGAAAGCAAAAAAAATAAATAAAACGGCAGTCAAAAATACCGAAAAATTCTCATTCTTTTTTTTGTAAATATTTTACCGAAGGCCACACGCGGCGAGAGATCGGTCGTTCGCGCCCTGCACACGGCTTGCAGCTGTCGAGCGAATGTTGAGTTGAGCTTGGACAAGTTCGCCGACAACGTCCTGCGCACCGAGTGCCACCGCTACTGCTCGACGCAGCGATCGAATTGGCGGCGGAAGAGGGGAACTGGGCCGTCGTGCAGCGCCTCGAACTGGCCGGCTGCTGCATCGGGTTCGCGGTTGGACGCGCGATGCTCGTCGCGCTGAAGGCCGGGCGGCTTGGGGTCGTTGAAAGACTCCGCTGCTCCGCGGAACCAATTTACGCCTACCAAGCGCTCTTCCATTTAAAGACGAACATCGGCGGCCTGCGCGACGCTTGCAGCGCCGGGTCAGCGCCTTCGACGCAAACAGCACCTTCGTTAGAGTGGCCCAGTGCTGCGAATGGCACGTCGTCGATTTAATGCTGGTCCACGTTGGCCAAGCCGAGCATGCTGAAGCGCGTGGCACGGCTACCCCTTGAAGCCAGACGTTGGAACATCGTTCACGCCATCGACGCGATGATTGCCCCCGCGAGCAACAAGCGCAGCAGCACAGAACAGTCAAACAGCACCGAAGAACAGCGTCCGCGCAAGCGACTGGCGGTCACTGAAGCAAGTCCTATTTGGTCCCTGTATCGAAAATACGCAAATGTAGGTGAATGTAAAAACAATAAGTTGAAGCGCTGAATATGTTCTGCGTGAGCTCGCAAGAAGCGTCGTCGACGAGATTCAGTGTTTGAAGAAACGTAAAAAAAAAAAACTTAACACACAACGTGCGTTAAGCGAAAACTTCTTCCCGTTAAATTTCTTCTTTTTTTCAATCACTTTTCTCTTCTAAGCCTGTCGACGAATAAAGGTTGGTCGCTGGTCTTCATCCTTGCGCAGGACGAAGAACATTTCGTCGACAGAGCAATCCCACTGCTCTCCGCGCGAAGCCTTCAATAATGGCTCCGTATCCGCTTCATTCGCCATCCCGAAGATGTCGACATAGTGCAGCCCCCCTATGTCGCTTTTGCGGCGATAGAACAGTCTGTTGCTACCAGCGTACCACGCCACGTAGTCGAAGGACACGACATTGTCAACAGATTCGGAGGAGGCTTTACGCTTACGTTGCTTGGCTTCTGCCTGTTCCGTTGATTTGCCACGTCGCGATCGCTTGTCGGCACCTTCGTAATGCTCTTGGGGGGCGCCGTTGTAGGACGACGACGAAGTTTCGCCACCGGGAACTTCGCGATTTCGTCGTCGGTATCTTCCGCATCGTCGACACCAGCAGCAAGACTTTTCTCCGCAGCAGCGCTTTTGGTCGGATCCCATCCTTCGTTCTGCTTGTCGTTGAAGCGCGCTTCCGATGCTCGAAATGCGTCATACAAAGGCTTCTTAGACACCGTCACGTCAACCCTCATCTTGCTGTCGTAGCACTCCTCGACGAGCGACTCCACGACTTTGGTGCAGTAGAGCTTTAAGGTTTTTCGATTGCCCTCTTGAACCCGAACGACATTAAAGTCGTTGGGAAGGTTATCGGTGTTGATTGGCGCCAAAACGAAATCGACAGGTGGCCCAGAGGGCTCGCGCAGCACGTCGTCCAGACCGCTTGCCAAAGCGTCGGCCCACACTTCCTCCAACGTGATCTTGAAGCTGCGCAGAGTATGCGTCTTTTTCGCCTTCTTCCAAAGGGTGAATACATAAAGGTCGCTACTGGTCATGGCTTGTTTTTTTTTCCTTTCCGGCTAAGGATAACATAAAAACCATACCACTGCAATTTCGTGCTCATTATCGTAGTCAAAAATTCCAACAACATACAAACAACCAGACAAACCTTCAAGCAGCGCCCCAATACAATCCTTATGGGTCTTGCGGAAACCACTGGTCCACGTCGTGGCCATTCAGAATAGCCAAGTGGATCGCATGCTCCAAGCGTCCCTCGTCTCTGTTTTCGTAAAGCCACTTGACAACGTTTAGGTGGCCGTTTGCCGCAGCGTCGTCCATCGCATCTTCCGGGTATCCATCGGCGCGGTTGTAGTCAAGCCACTTCACGACGTGAAGATGGCCGTTTCCAGCAGCCACGTCCATCGCAGACGCGGAACATCCCTCTTTACGATGTTCATGCAGCCACTTGACGACAT